ATATACTAACTATAAAACACAATATACTTTTTAATGTTATATAACAAATTAAAACATCTCATTTAACATTCATACATACATTAAATAAAATACATTATAAAAGCACATTTATATAAACATATTTATAAAACAACTATATAACATATATCACCACAAACATGTATTTATCAAAAACTTTTTAACTTTGAGCATAATATAAACATATATGCAAACTTTTAATAGCAATAAAACAACATTTATTAGCATCAATTATTTTAATGTCACAAAGAATGTAAAGTAAAATGCACAACATCTAAATATATTCGATGTGTCAGTCAGTATATATTGATCCAAAGTAATGAAAATGATGAAACCATTTAAGAATCAAATTAAAAATTTCTAATAAATACATATTTAGACACCTTAAAATGAAGCATAACACAAATTCTTTTGACAAATTCCACAAGAATTTTTTTTAATTTTTCTATTACTTATTATATTTCCTTAGAGAAAAAATACATATAGATGTAAAGAAATAAAAATAGACTGAAATAAACCCAAATTTATGTATATAAACTTACATGACCACAAATAAACGTCTTATTTTATTTAACTTTTCATATTAAATTATTTATTTATTCTATTCTTAATCAATAAATAAGAAAATGAATTGAACTTACTAACAAAGACATTAGCTCCTCTAACTGCTCTAAAAAATGAAACAATACTTGCCTACAATGATCTAAAAAGACTTATGGTGAGTTTCCACTCATCCGTTTTTCTACGGGAAAGGGAAAGGGAACGGGAACGGAAAAATAATCACGCGAGCATGCGCAGTTTTTTTTCGGACAAATAAAAACTTTTATTACGCATGCTCACGTGATTATTTTTTCCTTTCCTATCCCGTTCCCGTTGAAAAACGGATGAGTGGAAACTCGCCTTAGCGACAAAACTGAAGCAGTTTACTAAAAAAGAAACAATGTACTAAAAAACCTATTTTACCAGTCATTTTAGTTCCAACTTCGTGTAAAAAATAAAAACAGGCTATAAAAATTAGAAAAATAAAAACGACCAACAACTAACCCAGTGAGCAAGATGTATGCGGGTCGCAATCGGGCCTCTTGCAGCGCACACGCTGGCCCGACGTCGGCAAACCACAACGCTGCCTCGTAGGCTTGTATATAGGTTATTTGACGGTCCGCAGACGGCAAGCCGATATAAGCCGGTATAGGTGCAACATTGGCCAGCTAACGGCAAGCCGATGTAGGTTTAGCAATGATTTGCTGCTGGCTAGCCGCCATAGGTCCATCAACAGCCCGGTTGAAATGGCCTGCAAAATTTCATACACACACACACACCATATATTTGTTCTTTTTGTTGGGATTACGTTAACTAATGTGCTAAAAACAGGTTATGTTCTATTAAGACTATCTTTTCTTTGAAATCAAGTCGCTAATGGCCCGCTGTAGGTTAGCTGTAGGTACGCCGCCTTCGGCTTGCCAGGTCAAAGCAGCATTCGGTCCACTTTTGGACGAAATAATTTATTTAAATGAATAAAATAAAAATCATAATCAGTAAAGTAATAATCAAAAAAAATATAATATTCGCTATTTTCAATACAGAGGCAAGAGAATAAACCGCTTTATTTCGCCTAAAACAAAAGATTGAATTCATAAACTATTAGATATCAAAAATAAAATTAGATACATGTAATTGTTATTTAAACTTCTCTAAATTTCTTTAAATTTCTACTTGAGAATTATATTTTTAACTCAAAGAAGAATCTCTATCAAGCGTATTCCTATTAACTGCTCTCATTTTTCTCCCCCCATTCCTGCCTGCAGCTCCTCGTAAAAAACGCACGACTTCAATCTGAAACTCGCTTTCGGTTACTGATTTTGTTGGTAAATGTTTATTGATTCTTCCTATAATACAAACATATTAAAATGCACAACAGGCCGAGATTGACATTAATTAGCAAAAATAAATCGTACATTTATAGTAATAAATATTACAATAAATAGTAACATTTTTTGCTATATATAATAATTAAAATTAGTTTTTCTGATGATTTAAATACACGTTACACATTAGTTACTCACATAAAATTACTTACTCTGCATAAGGCCACGCGGTTAAGGTTTTTTTCGGTTCGGTTTTTATCGATTCGGTTTTAAAAATTAAACTAACAATTCGGTTTTTTTCGGTTCGGTTTAAATTTATTTTTGATCGGTTCGGTTCGGTTTCGGTTAAAAAAAAACAAAGTTTTAGAGGTCATTTATTAAATAAATTTAGACTTACAGATTTTTACCAAAAAAAACTAAAAATTAATTTTTATTTTCTTAATATTTTCTTTTGTATAAACCATTTTTTCATCATTCTCAACCGCCAACGTAGTTCTTCTGGCAGTGACAACGTTACCAGCACTAGAAAAAACCCTCTCTGAAGTTGCAAAAGTTGCTGGTATACAAAGATATTTTCGTGCATAGTTTGATAAAATTGGGTACTGCAACTTCATAGTTTTCCACCACTCTAAAATATCTGTCGTTTCTTCAGCTGTTTCGGCTGCTAAATAATGATCAATTTCTAAACCCAATTTAGTCATCGTTGAAGCACTGCGTGCTAAAATATCTTGTTTCAGTCTTTTTCTAAGCAGTTTATGGTGATTAACTTTAACATTTTCATTACTTTCATTGTCTGTTTTGCTGCTACTCATTGAAGCTTTTTCATGTTTTTTCTCTTTTTCCTGAGTCAATATTGCTTCTTTTATTTCATCACATTTTTTATATTCAATCAAATGCAGGCCTTTGTAACGTGGATCTAAAAAATTTGCAAAACAATTAATCAACTGCTCAGCACCGTTAAGAGGATATCGTTCCTGAAGTTCACAAATCAGCATTTTTATAAATGTTCTTGTTGGCTTATGTTTGTGATGTTGATGGGAAAGAAGCTCTTGGTGCAAGGAATATAATTCAGGTATCACATCTTGGATTGTTGGTCTTTTATCAGCTGATAAAGTTACTGAAATGTTGTATATTTTTTCAAGAAATGGAATGCTGTATTCTAATGTCTTCCATTGATCATCTGAGGGACATGACCTTTCAAACTCATCATTGGTTTTTGCAAGTGTTTTGATTGCATCTTTGACTTCAAGGACTGACTTAATGCACATGTAATCAGAATTCCATCGAGTTGTACATGGAACAATCAATTTCCTGGGCTTAATTCCAAGTTCTTCACAAGCATCTTGAAGCTTGGTCGTAGAGAGAGCACTTCTATGTGTGTGTGATGCTAAATCTGTACAGTTTTTTATTGCTTTAGAAAGTTCAATTGAATTTTTGATTGCTTTTAAAATAACTAGCTGGATTGTGTGATCATTGCAGCGCAATTCAGAATTAATTTCATCACTTTCTTTAGCAGCTAAAACAATATTGCTACCATTGTCATTAACGCAGGCTCGATGGACTTCTTCATTTAAGTTTAAATTAGCAATAAAAGCGTCCAGGTTTACTGCAATTGCAACCCCAGTGTGTCTACCAGTAAATGGTGTGCAAGCAATGAGAAAACTTACTAAACTAAAGTCTGAACTAATGTAGTGAATTGTAAGACTCATGTAAGAATCATTGTTCCGACTTGTCCAGAGATCTGTTGTAAAACTAACTCCAGTTACTTCTGGAAAGTCTTTGAGAAATTTTATTTGCAAACCCTCCTTTACCTTTTCATACAACATAGGAAGCTTTTGACGTCTAAATGTTGATGCAGATTTGACAGTAAACTTGCTATTTACTTCATCAATAAACTCTTGTGCTCCTTCATTGTCTAAAATTTCAAAAGGTAGACCAAGCTTGCAAATAAATTTTGTTAAATCTAGGTCAAACTTTAATTGCTTTGGATCATTTAACCCATATTTTTGGTTTTTTATAATGCAACTTTCAATTGTAGTTGTTTTTGTCTCCTTTTCTTTAAATTTTTGTTTATTAAGTATCTCTGTAGTTTTCAAAAGATGTTCTTTCCAAGATGCTTCATGTTTAGTTTTGACGTGGCTGGTTATTGTTGAAGTACTGCCACAGTTGATTTTGTAAGATTTAAAGCAAATTTTACATTTGGCTTCAAATTTACTTGACTTTTCAAAAAATTTCCAAATATCACTTTCTTTCGGCATCTTTAATGCAAATAAAATAAAAATGATTAGTAAGACAACCAAACCGTATAATAAACATAAACATAGTTCAATATAAATAAGTTTAACTAATAATTTTTCAAAATCCTTAAAATGTATTTTAATTATTTTTTAGAACATTATTAGTTACAATGCAAATATTAAACTATTTTACGCCTTGCATGCTCCTAAAGGCATTAATAATATTTAAACAACAAATTATTTTGATTATATCAGTTTTATTATTTATACAATGAAAACAGTTTAGAAAACGAGATTTCCAAAATAATAATATTATAAGATAAATATTATAAACAATATTAGAAATTTAAATAAGATTAAAAAAATACATCTTTTTAGAAAAAGCTTATACTACACGATATTGATATCCAACCCTTAAAAAATCTTACTCCATCATGGTCCGCAACATTTGTTCTAATTTCACGGCAAGCTATTTTATTATGTTTATTTTTCATTGTTTTAACTTTTTAACTTTGCTTTTCTGCGGTTTGAAATTTCTTAAATTAAATAACAATTATATTTTATTTAAAAATTTGATGTCAAATAATGTTTTTGAAATTTTAAAATTTTAAATCGGTTTTTAAAAGTTTTTTCAGTTACGGTTCGGTTTTTATTTTGATTTAAATAATTAGATCGGTTCGGTTCGATTCGGTTTTTTTGTTTCGGTTTTCACCGAAAGAACGGTTCGGTTCGGTTAACCGCACGGCCTTAACTCTGCAGCGCTAAATAACAACTTAGTTTGCGAAAAGCCTTTTTAGATAAAATGTTTTTTTTAAAAACATTTTATCTAAAAAGGCTTTTCGCAAACTTAGGCCCACCCGAGAAAAAAAAATTCGGCCCACCCGAGAAAAAAAAACCCGCTAATACTACTAGGAATATGTTTAACTTCCTGCTAATCCTGTTAAGTTCCTGCTAATACGGCTAATCCTGGTAAGTTTTCGCTTAATACGGTTAAACCTATTAAGTTTCCCATAAGTGAAATGACGTTTATGAATTTCCTGCTAATCCTAGTAAGTTCCTACTAAGTACTTATCAGGATTAAACGAATTACTTAGTAAGTTCCTAGTAAGTTTTCAAAAATAAAACAAGTATAAAAAATCGTCTTTGTTATACACCATCTTTTATTTATTCACACGGAAAATACTAATTAATATTTGTAATTCTATAAGGAAAATATATATGTATACATATATAAAAATATATATATGTATATATATATATATATATATATATATATATATATATATATATATATATATATATATATATTTATATTTATATATATATATATATATATATATATATATATATATATATATATATATATATATATATATATATATATATGTACATATATATACATATATATACATATATATATACATATATATATACATACATATATATATATATATATATATATATATATATATATATATATATATATATATATAATATATATATATATATATATATATATATATATAAACATAATACACTATGTTTAGTTCCATCTCAAACCATGTACAATCAATCAGCTTCAGGTAACTATTTTATTTTCTGTTTTTTTATATATATTGTGATTATGCATAATTATTCATTAATCATGTTGAATTTAAATGAATTTGAAGTTTTTTTGAGTGTGTGTATGTATATATATATATATATATATATATATATATATATATATATATATATATATATATATATATATATATATATATATATATATATATATATATATATATATATATATAAATATATATATATATATATATTATATATATATATATATATATATATATATATATATATATATATATATATATATATATATATATATATATATATATATATATCCTGCAAAATTCAGGTTGGTAATGCCAACGCAAAAGCCAACCTATTTTTGTTTCACGCCGGTATGCAACTGCTGACCTAAATCTTTGTAACAAGTAGCAAAAGTAATTTTTTTATCCACCTGACAAATATTTATTATTTTGATAAATAAAAAAATGATAATTTTGAAATAGACAAAATAAAAAAATAAAAACTAAGAAAAATTTATGAAGATTTTTTCTTATATAAAAAGATGTTCATCAAAGTCTTTTAGATCTTTTTAGTCTAATAGACCATAAAATTGCCACATTTTTTTTCGACGGAAGCCAAAAAATTTGAATAATGAACTTGTTAAGTGGAAAGCTCAAGAGCAAAAGTATTTTCTATTGTATTATGGGCCATTTGTTTTTTACAAACTTGGTAATGCTGAAATTTGTTCTCTTTATTTAATGCTTTCAACATCTATTTATACATTATCCAATGAAATTGTTTCATCAAATGATATTGATACTTGTCAGCAACTAGTTTATTTATTTCAAAAGGCATTATGCCCCTATTTCGGTGAAGGTATTCGCACATTCACTTTTCATGCATTAGCGCATCTCTCTGACCAGGTAAAAAATTTTGGACCTCTTACAGCAACGTCTGCTATGGTGTTTGAAAATGTAAATCGCCAACTAAAGAGGGCTGTTACAGGAACTAAAGGCCATGGAAGGCAAATGGCTGAAAAATTTATTAGATTTCAGACGGAAGACCACTTAAATACTTTTTCTTTGAATCCTTTTGTGTTAGGTGCAGCACAAAATATATCAGATAAGTTGCGGAATATGGATTTGAATGATTTAAATGTTGACCTAAATCTTTATCAATTTTATAACCGTTTTAGAGTTGCTGATTGAACTTTTCATGCTTATCATTATGGTAAAAAATTAAAATCAGCTTCATATTATGCATATTTAATAGAATTTAATGTGATTGTGAAAATTTTGTTTATTGCACATAACCAAAGACAAATCTTGTGTATATGTCGATTGTATAAAAATGTAAGTAAGTTTTATCGTCATATGGATTCTTTTAATATTCCTATCAAAATCAAGCATGTTTTGTCAAAAATATCTCCTTATTTATTGTTGAAAAAGTGTGGATTAGCTGTTTTTGATTCAAGCAAATTTACTCACTACGCTCTTGTAAAAAAAACAAAGAAATTTTATTATAGTGTTGTTATTCAAAATAATTATGAACATGATTAGGTTTTATTTCTATTTTTTAAAGTTTGAAATTGTATTGTTTTTTTGTATTATTATATATTTACTTTACAATATTTTTTTTATTAGAAGTTGTTATTTAGGATTCTGTTTGCAATCAATTAATTAATGAAACATCAAACTTAATTCATAATGGCGACAAGAGTTTGTTGTTTACAATGATCTAAAACAGATTTCTTTTTGTACCATTTTGACTTTGTGTAGTGTTTCTTTTAAGAATTAAATAAGTTTGTTAAGAGAAAAGAAATCATATCCACCTGTTATCGCGGATAACAGGTGGATACGATTAATATCTATTAAAGTAATTAAATATTTATTTTAGATACAATTATTAATTGTTTTTTGTCAACTGTAAATTTTCCTTTTTTTTATATGTATATAAAAATAATATGTGTATATATATGTGTATATATATATATATATATATATATATATATAAATATATATATATATATATATATATATATATATGTGTATATATATATATATATATATATATATATAATATATATATATATATATATATATATATATATATATATATATATATATATATATATATATATATATATATATATATATATATATATATATATATATATATATATATATATATGTATATATATATACACACACGAGGCTTATTTAAATTCTTTTAATTTAACTTAGTTTCATATTTTCATACACTTTTTTTTTTTTTTGAAATTTTAGATTATAATAGCTTTGAAACAATGATAATGAAAGTTTTTTCATCGTTCTAAATTTATAGTAAGTTAAATATGCTTTTTTGTTATAAAATATATGTTATTATGTTGTTGAATTACATTAATATTTTTATAAATTACGTTATAGCTACAGTTATGGTCGTAAAAGATTAAGAAAAATCTTATGGGTGCAATTATTCCACTGACACCTGCGAAAAATACCAAAAGAACTGACCATCGCTGTTTATTGTATTTTTTTAAATGTTTTAGTTAAACAATCTAACACTTAATTATTTGTTATTTTTATTATTGTTTCATAAATAAGCGTCCTTATTGCTTAGCGACTAGTTAAGTTATATTATAAGGATTACATTTTCAAGAAGATTCTGTGTTTAAGTAAAAATTATTATTTTTACTTAAACTCGTATATTTCTTGAAAAACAAGCCTACTAATATATCTATGAAATCTTTAAAACTCAAATAATTAAATAAAACCCTAATAAACATGAATTTAACTAAAAAAACTATTAACTAAAACTAGAAAGTAATACTTAACCGAGAAAAAAAAACCTACTAATCCTGTTAAGTACCTACTCAGTTCCGAGTAAAAACCCTAGTAATACTACTAAGTTTCCTTCTAAAAACTTGCTAATCCTACTAAGTTTCCTACTAAAAACTTGCTAATCCTACTAAGTTTCCTACTAAAACTTGTTAATCCTACTAAGTTTCCTACTAAAACCTGCTAATCCTACTAAGTTCCTAGTAAGTACTCGGCGGGAACTTACTAAGTTTTAGTAGGAAACTTATTAGGAACTTAACAGGATTAGCGGGGTTTTTTTTCTCGGGCAACTAGCACTCCAGTTGAACTTTCGTTGTAGGTCGTTTGTCAATAATGAGTTAATGGCCGTTTTTACAATTTCTCTAAGTGACTGGCCACCTTTGCTAGCAAGAACAATCGCATTTAATTTAAAACTGCATTTAATTTAAATTGTGTCACTTTGCATATAAATCAAGTAAGAAAAATAATTAAATATTTAAAAATATATCATACTTTGATTAGGACTTTTCCGACTTTTTTTTTAAAATCAAAACACTTACCAATTTATTGAAAATCGACTTGTTTCGCTTTAACAAACTATCAAACACATCTAAATCTTTCATGTTACCAATCGGAAGATTGTATTCCTCAATCATACTGTCATCATAATTGTTTTTATTATCCAGCTGTGTTTGAAGAAGCCAGGTGTTGAGTTCAGATTGACGCTGTAAATCTTTAATGGATGTTTTCACCTCTATTAATAAAGTGACCATTGTTTTATCCATTGTTCTTAAAACAATACAAAGAAAATAGTAAATAAAGTTTTATTACTATGCTAAAATTTATGGTTTTACATCAGGGTTTTATAACAGGAAAAGTTACTTATCCTAAGTAAGCTACACTCAAAAAACATGATAATCAGCTTAACCTCATAATCAAGACATGTTGTTTCTAAGAATGTGACCTGAAGAATTAAACTTTACCTTTCATTGACAACATTAAGCATTGTGGTAACATATCAATTAATAGCATTAAGCATTGGGCAAACAAACAACTTGGGCAAATCTTAAAATGAAACAACAATAACAATTAAACAACATTTGTTTGTGTGATTATGATGTCCTTGTCTCCTAATGTAAGATAAATTTAATTTGATGGTATATTAAGAATATAACATATATTTCCGTATATCAAGTGACCTTTTGAGTTGCTTTCACTTATGTGTATTTGAGACAAGGGCATTGAAGACACCACTGTTTTGGTCAACAACTTTATTTGCTCTTCTAAAAATTCTAAAATATAACAATTAAAAACAATAAAACAATCAAAAATTATATTTTCGCTATTAAAATTTTGTCTTGCATGGTAGTCAGAAAGTTTTTCCAATAAACTGTAGTTTTAAACAGCGCGTTAATAAATCAGACCAGAAAAAGTTGAAAAACTTAAATATCTTTTTTTTTCCTTAAATGATTGACTGCCTACCCAAACCAAACCCTCAGTCGATGAAGCAGCACTCCGTTACGAGTCAGGCTATTTGTCAGTTGATGTAGCAGCACTCCGTTGATTTTGTTTAAAAAACAATAAAATTTAATGTACTTCCGCATTAATTTAAAAGCTTTGACATTTCGACAACAATAAAATACAGCTTAAGAGCTGAGGTAAAACCAAATTATATTACATTAACAAACAAATTATCAAAAAAATTGCAAGCCGTACAACCGTCCCCAGATGTTATTGAGCTTTTCCACTATAGAATTACAAAAACTAATTATAATTAATTTGTGTTAACAAACAAATCATCAACTGAATTAATTACAATTAATTTTTGTAATTCTATAGTGGAAAAGCTCAAGAACATCTGGGACTTGCGTGGCTCGCATTTTTTTGATGATTTTTTTGTTAATGTTTTTAAATGTGGTTTTAAATGTTAATTTTAACTCAATATAAATTCTAGCATTTTCTGTATATATCTAACGTGTTCTGTAGTACAAAATTCATCTTCTGATTTATGGAGATTTTTTTTTTTTTTTTTATTGTTATTTAGGTGCCCTAAGAAGACTTAACGGTCTTGTCACAGAGCACCGCGGATGTGCATTTAACCAGAAAGTTCACGCCTCCTTCCTTACCGTGACGAGAAAATATGTCTAGGCTCGTTTCGAACCTGGATCTCCTGCTTATGAAGCAAGCGCTCTAACCATTGCGCCACGGCCGCACGTGTACAAATATGTATAGTAATGTGTTTTTAAAATTATATTTTATTTTTTATTTCTGATTTTTTATCCTGTCTTTGTTTATGATTTTATATTGCTTACAATTTAACTCTTTCCTCTTTACTAGAAAGAGCGAGCGACTCACCTTTAATAAAGACAGGCTATATATATATTAACATTAAAATTCTTACAGAACATATTTCACTGGTAAAAATAGTGTTATTTTTATTTTTATCTCTTTTTAAAACAAGCTATAAAACTATTAAATATTGTTGTATTTTATATAAAATTATAATATAGTTTATATTTACTGTTAGCGGAGAAGCAGAGTAAGAAGTTAATAGCGCATCCTTTTCTTTAACGTAACCTACTTTAATTTTCACACTCAAATCTTGATAGATGACAACATCTTTTTACTCTCCTTCTCCCTGCCACTTGACAAGAACAAAAGCAGTACACAACATGCAAATTACAAACCCTTTGAAGTTTTGCTACAAGTTCTGATTTTAATATCTTCTTGAAATATTTACCGAAACCATCGTATTCCGATACCTGCAAAGTTTATCAACTTGCAATATAAATTTTTCCACTATTATTGTAAATGTATTTATATATACCTTTTCCAACTACCTAAAATCATAGTATGTATATATACAATACAATCATTAACATTAGTTAATGATTAGTATTCAATAAACATCAGCGGCAACCAAATACCATACTATTGAAATACTAAAAAAAGAGGAAACATTGTAGAAAAATAAAAATATTCTGGCACTAAAAAGACATACTGAATTGTTACTCTCGAGTTCTTATTTCTAAGGGAAGGGGGGGGGGGATGAAAAAAGGAAGGGGAGGTTGGGATTTTAGTCAAAATTGTTTTATAAAACGCATCATAAAACTATTTAATTCTAGCGTAGCTTGCGTTCAAATTGGCGTTTTCAAACAGCTGCCTCATCATAAACTCAATATGGCTGATATATGTTTTATACTTTGGAGAAAAATAAACCAAAAGCTCATTTTTGACAAATCAAAATTTACTTTGTTGATAATTTTTTAACCTGTTTACATTGAAAGGTTTTGTTTTTATCGGTGATTAAAACAATCATTTTCTAATTTTTAAGGCCGATTTGCACTTTTTTTTTATTTTATTAATTAGATATTAGTTTTTGTTAATAACAAATAGAAATTAATAAACGGGGAGGGTCTTAATAAAGAATACTTTAAAATTCAAAAAAATTTTGAATTTGAAAAAAGCATTATGAGTTATATTGAACATTTTCTACGAAATTTAAATTGTACAAGCAAATGAATGTATGTACCGTAATATTTTGCATTTCTTAATTTATTATTAAACTTACTTTTATAAAATTTAATATTAAATTAGAAAATCCAAAAAATATATATCAAAATTTAAAAAAATATATCAAAATTAAAACCATTCAACTGAACACGCAATAACTGAAATAGTAGACCAAATTACTAAAGGATTCGAAACAATAACTTTACTCTAGGATTATTTATTGTCCTATCAAAAGCATTTGATACGGTTGATTACCTCATTCTTTTAGAAAAAATTAAACACTACGGAGTAATAAATAAAATCTTTGATTGGCTAAAAAGCTACCTCATTAAAAGAAAACAATATATTATTAATAAGGAATCAGGTGAACTAAAACGCGATAATGTTTGCTGACGACACAAATCTTTTCTTATCAAACAGTGACATTAGGCAACTTTACTCTGACATGAATTATGAATTAAGGAATGTCAATGAATGGTTTAAGGCTACTTAACGTAGATAAAACAAAGTATACTCTATTCCATAAAAAATCACAACAGGAAAACTTTCCCTTAAAACTACCAGGTTTAATTTTAGATGAAAAACTAATTGGAAAAAATGAGTCAATACAATTCTTAGGAATTCTTATTGATGAAAATTTATCATGGCTTCCTCACATAAATTATATCCAATCAAAAATTAGTAAAACAATTGGTTTGATGTACCGTATTCGCCTATATGTAACATCAGAAAGTTTGAAGTATATTTTGGCCTAAGACATTGTTTTATTTACTATTTAAATATTGCATGGGCTAATACTCAACCTACAAATCTTAAAAAAATTATTCTCTACAAAAACATGCATGCAGACTAATATATAAGAAAAATAAATATGAACATGCAAAATCATTAATGAAAGTCACGCAAATGATGAGTATATATGAAATTAAATTTACCAATACTTAATTTTTATGTATAAATATAATAACAGCCTCATTCCGAAAACCTTTAATAATAAATTTACGAAAAATGTTAACAATAATTGCTCTCTTAGAATAAACCAATGGAATACTTATAAATTGCCTAGAAATAGGAGCAAAAGTTCTAAAAATGGAATAGCATACCGTGAACCGAAACTATGGAACACATTTCAAAAAACCAAGCATTTAAATACGGTAAAATCATTAAACTCCTTTAAGTTTACATAGGGGCTCTATGAAAAGGTTGTGGTGACTTTAGTCATCCGTATCTTCTTTGAGCCCCTGCCTGTTTTTATAAATTAACTTTATTTTGTATGTAAATGTTTCTTTGTAATTATATTTTCTTATTATATAAACAGCAAATATATATAAACTGAAAAAAAAACTAAACCACAAGCAAGCCAGACCAAAATGAATGTCGGTAAGATTTTTTAAAAATAAAAACTCACCTCTTATAACTTAACGGGAAACTTTTCACTAAACAAAAAAGCGTATTACAAATTATGACATGAAGTATTGTGCAGAACTATTGAGCAGACTTATTGCTATCCACTCCGACTCCACTCAGTAAAGTGATAGTATACATCAGACCATTGCCAGGAGAAAAATTTAACGAGTCATCTCAATAAATATGGTAAAAATAAAATACTTCCTACTAACATAAGTTAAAAAAAAATTAATTCCTTTATATATTATGCCAGCAAAACGTTTTGTTATTTTTAATACGAAAATTTGGGGGATAGGTTAAACCGGTGATTTACTTAAGTTTTTTTAAACTTGTAAATAGATTTATTTAAATATACAATTATATAAAGAATACTATAAGAAGTAGGTAATAGAGCTACAAAAACATTATTTAAAAAATTTTTTTAAATCATTTTAGGTGCGAATTTTGTAATGTATTTAAAATAAAGTATTTTCGCCGAGAAAACAAAATTAACAGAATCTAAAACTTTTTAATAATCTTTACTTCTTTTCAGTTGAGAAAGGCGTGAGTTATTGAAGCCACATCAGTTGATGAAAGAAGTACATAAAATAATTCTAAATACCTGTCAAGCTTAGTTTCTAGCTTGCAAATATATACTTACGTTTTAGTACTTATTATTGTTTTAATTTCCGTATGGCAAATATAACGTTGCTTATAAAATTTTATATCATTTTAGCTAATCCGAAAATATTATTTACTTGTTTATCATAAAGATACAATAGACTTTTGAAACTACATTAGCTGCAGCATAGCAAATATGATTGTTGTCATTGCTCAATACAAGTAAAACCTAATTTCTTAGATCCGTGAATACGAGGGTTGGATCACGATAAATAAAAAATTTTAAACCTTAAAAATCTTTAAAATTCATTTTTTGTGTTTTTACAATAAAGTTCAATGAACTGCACGCATGGCTGACGAATGACTGACGAGTTTTACTCGTTTTAATTCAACAACGCTATCCAGTTAAATCACTGTTTACTGAAGCAAAATAAATTTTTCATCGAGATTTGGATAACTATAGTTTTCTTTGTTATTAATAATACTACTACTAATAATAAAAATTCAGATGTAAAATGAAAAGCCTAAAGAGTGATGTACTAAAACAACAACAATAACAAAAAGCTCAATAATAACGATTTATAATTAACAAAACATTAAAAAAAAAGTTATGAACAGGGGTGTGGAGTCGTAAAAAAAAAGTAACTACTCCGTCTCCAGTTGTTAAAATTTTTTGAGTACAATTCCGATTCCGACTTCAACTCCGACTACGACTAAAACTCCAAAGCCAAATTTATGAAAAATTCTTTGAAATCTTTAAAAAATATTACGCTATAAAATAAAAAAAATTTTTTGGACAAATTTATGAAACGTTCTTTGAGGTTTAGTATGAATATTAGGTTAATTGCATATAATACCGAGAAGTTTTAGGCAATTGCGTATAATACCGAGAAGTTTTACTATTGGAGTCGGAGTCGCAATTTTGTTTAGCGACTCCGACTCCGACTCCCCTAGAAATGTTGCAACTCCGCAACTCCGACTCCACAGCCCTGGGTACGAAAATAAAAATTCATACATCAGATACAAATTTTTGATAGCTTGAAAGCAGAAATCTCACAACAGACAAAAACGACAAAAAAAAAAAAAAACAATCCAAAAACATCAAAAAACAAAATTTAAAATTTCCACTTTTTTTATTTATCATTTTTTTATTTTTTTTTTATTTTTTTTTTTATTGTTTTTCTTTAGCCAAAATTACTTTAAAATCAACCTTTTCCATTCCTTATAAATTCAACCCTTTTTTAGTTAGAGAGAAATATTGCATTTTAAGAAAAAAAAAATTGTAATAGATTTTTTTTATAAATAAATGCTTTACAAATAAATGCTTTGTCTGTATTTTTCTATTTGAATTTATTTTTTCATTATCTCAGTGTTTTTTGAACCTCTGATTTATATCATGTTTTTAAACTTATTTATTACTGAGATATACGTTTTTAAACATATTTATTACTGAGATATATGTTCTTTTAACAGCTTTTTTTTGTGTGTATGGAAATTTTTGTTCATTGCTTTTTTTAAAAACAAAACAAATTATCTGTTGATTCATACCGCTTTTCTCCATATCAGTACATCATTCTGTCTCTTTCCGTATTTTCTCTATAACGTTTGGTTTATTATAGCAACAAATATTAGTAGGAAAAAAATAAAAAATAGCATTAGCTTTTAGGAGAATTATATGTAATACTTTTTTTTAATTGCTATACCCTTTTCGCATAACTTTAATAAAAAAAAAATTCTATTGTTTATAGATTATTGTTGAATCATATGAGCAAACTATATCGAAAAACAAAAAATACCTAGAATTAAAAAATCATGTGTACCCAAAACAACAACAAACAGATATATTCAATTTGGTTTATATTCAATAAGTTAAACTCTTAAAATACATGAAATAATTAACGATATTGTTTATTGTAATATTGCATATTGTTTTAAAAATATTCTTTTTAATATAATTTCATGAAAAGATTAAGAAAAAAGAAATGTTATAAAACAGTTTTTTTTTAGAAAATAAAATTGTTTCGAAGTTTCAGTTGTTACATAATATAATTGAAATTCAAGTTTATAAACCTTTGTACAATTTTATATACTTTTAAATTATTAATAAACTTCATTGAGTTTTTGATAAATAGAGATAAGTTTACGATTTGTTAAAAAACGGAAGAAATGAATCACCATTGCTTGTGATGCTTAGATTTTGATTTCTGGGACATAAAAATAGACACAAAAATGTGACATATATTAATTCAAACCTTAGATATTGACTTTTTAAAAAAAATAAAAAATGAGTTATATATTACATAAAATTTTCTATATAAATGGTGCAGCCCCTCTGCCGATTGGAATTTGTCTTATTGTGTTTTTTCTTAACGTAAGTTTATTCATGTTTATTACGTTTTTCTGCATGCAGATTTATATATATATATACACATATATATATATATATATATATATATATATATATATATATATATATATATATATATATATATATATATATATATATATATATATATATATATATATATAAATATATATATATATACATTATATATATATTATATATATATATATTATATATATATATATATATATATATATATATATATATATATATATATTTATACTAATTAGTATATTTGTAAGTGTGTATACAATTACAAATATACTAATTAGTATAAACCATATTCTGTAATTTTTTTGTTTGTTTTTATTTTATTTTATTTAAAGTTATTTATTTATAAAAAGTATATATTTAAAATATCTTTTTGTTTATATATATATATATATATATATATATATATATATATATATATATATATTATATATATATATATATATATATATATATATATATATATATATATATATATATATATATATACATATATATATATATATATATATATATATATATATATATATATATATATATATATATATATATATATATATATGTAAAAGTGAGCGAATAAATAAAAAAAAAGTATATAACAGTTGTTTATTAAATTGATGTTTATTTTATATATTATCTATTTTAAATATAAATACACTTTTTATATACTCAAGTACGTGAACTCAGCAAACAACGCTCTTCGTTTATGAATATCCATAAGCTAAAAACATGTACATTTATCATAGTATAGTTTAATAGTAATAATTTAAGCTGATAAAAATACCAACAAGTGTAAAATTGAACATTTAAACTTTTTTTAAATAAAAATTTCACTATACTTTTAATTTTTCATTTACAAGGTTATCGTAAATTTAATTTGAACTTATTTATTATATTTGCGTAAAGCATGCTGGATTTATTCTCCAACTCTTTCAAAAAAGAGCTACAACAGGAACTATTATCTCCTGACAATAAATTAAGTGAAAAATAAAACGGTTTAAAGTTTAAGGCCCAAAAATCTCAATTTATTAATATATGTTATATATGCACTTGTTTACAAAGACAAAATATTCACAACATTTATTTATTCATTGTAAAAATTAAAACTATTAAATCTAAGTATTAACTTTAAAGATTTAAAGAATATAGAAAATACATTTGTATAAATAAATTTGTTCTAAACATACTTTCAAAGGTAATAAATGATTGTCTAAAAGAATTAAACTATCCTTTGATACATATGCATAAGATAAAAAAAGGAGGAGTGATAAAATGTTTTCTCTTTCATCTACCTGATTCGCTTCTTTAGAAAAGTCTCTTCAAAATGTTTGGAATACAAATAAGGGATAATAAAGTATCACAAGCATTTACTGCCCTGCATATAATGACGAATGTTTTACGATCAACACTAGTGTCCGCAGATGTTTGTTGTCCATCCTTTTTTAGCAACTAAGTTTTACTCAAACTATTGCTATTCCTGTTTTGTTAGCATTTTAAATTTTATTAGACTAAAACTAGAACTTTTACATTTTAAACTTGAACGTTTTTGAGCTTATGATGTCAACGTTATTTTAATTCAGCTTGAAATATCGTTGCTAAGCTGTAAAAAATATTATGATATTTTTTGACAATACTTTAAGTAGAATTAAGTATAGTTGCAGTATTTATTGCAGTTCTTATTGCTTATCAAATATTATTTCATCAATTTAAATAATTTTGTATAACTATTTATATAACCTATTTTAATGCTCAAGAAACATCAGGTGGTTTAAAAATGTCGAAAAAAAAGTAATAATAATAAATTGTCACACATTTTACATTCTATTAATTTTCATAAATTATTGAAGTTTTCATATGAAAATGTGCCTTTATGCAAAACTCACCAACCTAAAAACATAAATTTATTTTTTCATATTCCATACTTTATTGTTTTCCTTCCTTCAGTAACTAAAATGTAAAAATAAAAAAGATATTGAAATTATTCGATATTAACAAATGTGAATAAATTCTTAAAAACAATAAATATTAGGATAAACATTATCAAAAACAAATGCAAAAAATGCTATGGTTGTTGCACTTGTTTGTACACAATTCTAGTAAATAGACTAGAAACTGACACTAATCTGCTCTTAATGGCCAGAAATGTTTGTTAAAAGGACAGCCCGGGTGGTAAAGTTATACCACAACATCTTTCTTTCGTTTCATTTATCATACCAATCCAATAAAACACATTATTTAAAACAAAATAAATTCACTGATTTTAAACTATTAATGTTAATTTGATGTTTAAGTTGAGTTCTTTAAAGATTAAAAAAAAAAAAAAAAGACTGTTTTATTTTCATCTTCAATTGTTTGTTTAAAACTAATGGCATCTAAAGATTCTGAGTTAAATTGATGATAGCTCCAAAGTCAAGGAATTCTCTAACATTGCTGAAAACGTGTTATGTCTGACAGTCTTTTACTTTTATATCTTGAGGAAAATCCTTAAATTTTGTCAGTGCAGAAGTCAAACATTTTATTACAACCTCATATTTGGTCATTAACGGGCCTTTGTAGGCTTGCATTTGCAGTTGTTTTACATTGTTACCAACAACATCACACGGTGGCGCACAACAACTTGCTGCAAAAAACATCCACTAGGGGTCATTTCGAAATCATTTATGAAGAAAAATATTTTTTTTTTCTTTTATGCAATGCATCAGAACGGTCTATAAAGTAGCAGAGGATCTTTCAAACGATTTAATTGTGATCAGGGCAGATCTAATTTGTCTATAATGATTGAGGAGGGTAAGAGAGAGGATAATTTTTTAATTTTTTTTGATTTGGCGGACCCTGACTATCTATTAAGTTGGGTTCAGACCCCTATCAAATACTAATGTGAATTAACTAGCAAACTAAGCAAACTGCGAATCTTATACTCTGAAATGAGGTAATATATATATATATATACATATATATATATATATATATATATATATATATATATATATATATATATATATATATATATATATATATATATATATATATATATATATATATATATATATATATATATATATATATATATATATATATATATATATATATATATATATATATATATATATATATATATATATATATATATATATATATATATATATATGTGTATATATACATAGAGCGGGTGGATGACGTATTTGTTTTTTGCCGACTATAGCCAAAAAACGTTTTTTTGCCAACTTATCAAAACTAAAAAAAGAAAAAAAAAAAAAGATCCTTGTTGGTTGACATTTGAACAACTGCCAACCATAGATCCAATTTTGCCGACTCCAGTGTCCGATTTGCCGACTGATAAAATTCGTAGGGAAGCTAGACACCGCTACACCCCCTTGGGACGGCCCTGACGATCAATTAAGTAAACCATAAACAAAACTACAGTGTGTTGCTCAAAATAATAAAATTGGTCAACTGTAAATCAAAATGATTTTTGCTTGGTATAAATATATATAAAAATATATATAAAAATATACATTGTTATCCCAATAGTCTGATTTAAAATTCGCATCTTATAATTACATAAAATTTTATATTATTTTATACAATCTGCTTAACAGACTTCCTTTTTTTTTCAAACTGTGGGGTTTCAGAAAAAAATTTTCGTTAAAACCTTAGCTATCTAGCTTGACATTTTGCAACACGTCGTCGTCTTTATCGTCATCGTCATCATCATCATCATCATCATCATCATCATCATCATCATCATCATCATCATCATCATCATCATCATCATCATCATCATCATCATCATCATCATCATCATCATCATCATCATCATCATCATTATCATCATAATGACCATCACCATTATTACAACCATCACCACCACCAACATTATCATCATCATCATTATCATCATTGTCTTTTGAAGATATTTAGTTTTTAAAGAAACATACAGTTCTTTAAAATTACATAAAATCCGGGCCTTTTGCATGTGTTATTTTGCTATTTTATAGTATAATGTACTCGAGGAACAAAGATATATTAATACTATTCAGCTTGTTGGATCAATTTTGATCATTAGGACAAGCATTTTCTAACATAAGTATTTTTATAACAGTAGTAAAGTTCTTAATTCTTATTTCAAGAAGAAACACTTAAATAAAATTTAAACCCATTTTTGAAAAGAACACTGAATTTCATCATTAATATTTATAAAAAAAACCTGGACTGTTACTGCAAAGTTTTCTGCATAATGTTGCATTTTTATCTTTTAGAGAATACCTCGGTTATTTAATAAGATTTTACTAAACTAGCTTTACCAACAAGCTCAGCCGATTCGCGCACCCGAGAACCCAATTTTCTTTTACAGGAAACTAAAATTAGAATTCAAAATCCAAAAAACTAGAATGTTTAAGCCATATATATAAAGCTGTTAAAACTAAATTTGTTTATTTTACTGTTAAATTATATTGCCTAAATGTGGTCTGGTTCCACACTGTACGAAGCATTATTAATGAAAAAAAGTAAAAAAATTAATTTGTAAAAATAAGCAATTTAATTCACAATATTCAATAAACAAATATTAAGATTTTTAATGATAAATAGAATCATTTTTGATAAGAAAATGTAGATGAAAAAGATAAACTAACTAATTTAAAAACAGAATGCTTTTAGGATGGTCAGAAAAATAACGATGTTGGTAAATAAGTTAAACATACGTTGATAAATGTAGGAAATTAAACAAATGTTGATCTGATTATGAGCCATACAAATATAATGCAAAAATATGATAGAAATGATTCGAAAAACTATTAAAATATTTTTTCTGCCACTGACGAAAAATCATATTATCCACTGATAGAAAAAAAACAAAAATCGAGGGAATTATAAAAGTAGTCTTTATCAATTTTCGAGATTTAAACTTGTTGCAGTAGCCTACTACCAATGTTGGAGCTTTTTATAAAGTAAGAAATGACATAAAAAAATTGTTAAATAGATATAGAGTCTACTATTAGAAAAATATATTGACTTATTATCAATTATAACATCAACTTTGCAGCCTTTTAATATTATATAAATTGCTATAGAAGCATTGTGTTGCGATATGTGAATTTAAAAATGAAAATATTGCAAGCTATAACGATAATCATGCAAACAGCGTAGATTTGGAAAAAGTTATAGAATGATTATCATCAATAACAAAATTGAATGTTAAGTTAAAAACATTCTTGAAACAAAAAAAGGTTTTAATTTGTATTTTCAAATTCTAGAAAAAGATAATAAGAAAAACAGGAAAGATGTTAAAATAAAATAGTGAAGTCGTTTTTGCTAAAACAGTAAAACTGATTTGACTATTGTCAAATCAGTTTTACTATTTTTTGTACTTTTGTTTTATATTGTATTTTTATTTTCTTTTTTACGGGTAACTTACTGTCATAACAGAAAGTTTTAATATGAATATTAGTATACACAATAGTATTCTATTGTGTTGACAGTGGCAGCCAGACTAAGGCTGTTGTTTTTGACATATCAAAGACTTTTGATAAACTCTGAAATGCTGGTTTTTTTCTATAAGTTCTATGTTTATATGTTGTATCTGAAAATTTTTTTAAAAAATTTGAATCATTCCTTTCGAATTACATTATTTAAGTCTTTCTTGATGGAAATAATACTCCATCATTTTCAGTAACTTCTAGGGCACCACAAGGTACAATCTTCTTGCTTTAAAATTTGGCTGCTAACTATATTGCCTCATTATTGTGCTATCTTCTGATTCCATTTTTTAAAATTTTTTTTTGGCCGTTTATAGAATACAGTTGTCAGCAATTAAGTTGGTTCTTCTAAAGATAGTCTTTCTTATTTACACAAGATTCAAAAAACGCATTTTAAATTTAGGTTTCTAGTTGCTAATAATGATCCTTTTTCCCATTGTCACAAGATTACATTTCTCTCTCTCATGTATAAATACAACTACAGTTGCTGCTTGAGATTTTAGCTATTACTTTAATTTCTATCTTTATAGCTTTTCAATGGAATGGCAATGTCAAACCTATCTTCGTATTTACCGCAACTTGTAAAGGTTAGAAGTTTATTTTTGTATTATAAAGTTGTTTTTTGTACAATGAACACAGTTATATATATGCCATACGAATAATTTAATGCAAAAATGGTTTTAATGATTGTAAATTAGTTTAAGTTATTTATTATTTAAAATGCTAATAAAAATGTTGGTATCGATTGTTTGTTTAACATATTTTTAATAAAACTAATATTTTTTTTTTTATATTTTAAAAAATTCACAAATTTTTTAAAATTTATGTTTTACAAAAGAGTCGTGATAAAAAAAGTGATAATTTTTTTATCATGAATAGAATACATAGTTGTGCAAATATTGGTAAAATTATCATGAAAATTAACAGTATAGATAATAGTATAAATAATCAGGAATTTTGATTAAATTTAGTAACTGCAACTATTAGCCATCTTTTCTCTATTCAAACTGGCATAGACATACTTGCGTAAAAAAAGTTTATAATGCACAAAGATGTTACCAATTTTAAACTCTAAATACATCTAAGTGAGTCCATTTTTTACACTTCTTTAGGGTAGTAGCAATCAATTTTGTTTTATTTCTAAATAACTACTACCAATAGATGAATTCAAAGAAAATTTGATAGTTTTAGTGTATACAAAGAACATGCAAATGTTATGAAACTTGCTTTAAAAAGGGTGCGGAACCAGATTTTAAAAATAGCAGACATAATCTGAAAAGTTATCACTTTATATTTTGCTTAAAATTAAATAGTGTTAGTTATATGACTTATAAATAGATGTTATCAGAAGACAATTTTCAAAACGTTAATCTGGTTAGTGATAATTAAGAGAAAATAGTTGCATATATAAAACATTTTCAAAAAAGCCAAAAAGTTAACATAATTAGTATTTTTATTTCTGAAATTTAATAAGTTCAATTATTCAAAAGTTGTAAACTAGACAAAATTATTAGAAATAGGTGAAATGTATTCAACAATAACAGTTTATTGAATGAAACTTATTTATCAAAAGGATTGAGTCAAATAAGCAGAAAGGAAGTACAAAAAAGTTCAGAAGCAAAAAAATATCAAGAATAACAAAAGTTTTACCTGGTTTTTTTAGAGTATTTTCTTGTTAATCAAAATTATTTATTTGTTATCTAAGAGTATTTACTTGTAATTTGAGAGAGTTTGTCAGTCTTTCTTTTTCTGTTTCTATTAACTTTTGTGGTAATTAAATGTTTGGTACATATTGTTTTGGATAATCGTTATAATAAAATAATCCACTATATGTTTAGAATCCCTTGTTATGATTACTTCTGTATATATTGATATAATATTGGTGCATGTTCTTAAGAAATTTTTTTTTGTTACTGCTTTGTTATTATGATCTTATTTTCCTGATTCATATAATTTGCAATCTTTTAAGTCATCTTTTAAAGTCATTATCTTGCTTGACAAACTACATCTTTTCTCTTCCTGTAACTTCCAACTCTAATTGTGGTTGCTTGCTAGCCTTGTTAGAAGTGATGTTGTTTAGAAAAAAAAATCAAAGGAATTCCAATTAAATTGTTTACTTTCTATCATCACCACAGATTGCAGTTTGTTTCCATTAATGACTCAATTTTTTAAGAACTTTCAGTATTTTAAATAATTTTAAAAAATGTTCAATTGGTACCCCTCAAGGCTCAGTGTTAGGACCTTTTTGAACATTTAAATTAATAACTTAATTTATTGTATTATTACTATTATTATAAAATGCCAGTTTGTCTTGAATTACCAACACAAAAACCTACCTCTTACTTTCAACAACTTCTTCCAAACAACCTTTACTTTCTTCTATCCATAAACAATCGTTCTGCTGCGTAAGTCCATAAAATATAAAAGCATAAAATCTTAGAATAAATTTAATGATCTAAAAGCTCTCCTGCAATGTTTTTATAAGCAACTTATTCCACTCCATCCTAAATAAATACTGTTAATATATCCAAAAATTTGTGTATGTATACAAGTATATGTGAGTGTGTGTTTGTGTGAGTGTGTGTGTGTGTGTGTGTGTGTATGTGTGTGCATGTGTGTGTGTATGTGTGTGCGTGAGTGTTTATTTCTAGTATTATTAGATTAAAATATTTTTTTTCGTGATTATTTTTATTAATTTTATTTCATTTGTGTTATAACTTTCACTTTTACTCTTAATTCAGCTGTTATTGGTTACTACTACAATAATAGTATTTTATTAGTATTATTGTAATAACTCTTTAAAATTAGTACTTATAGTATTTGTAAATATCCATTAATGTTAGTTAGTATTTCAGATATATATTCATTGATTGTTTAAAAAATGGATATATGTTCATTGATTGGCATAAAAATGTTACAAAACTTGCTTTAGGAAAAATAAATGTTATGAAAGTAGGAAGAAGAGCTTATATATAATATGAAGTTTTTTAAAAGTGGTTGCTTATTTTAAACCAAAAAAATTAAATATGAAGAAACTAAAAAGATAGAAGTTTGTAAAGTCTCCTGATTTTATATTTGCATAAGATTAAGAAATGTTATTAAAACTTAAATGTTATAAAACTTTTTTTTTTCTTATTTTTTCATGTTTTTAATATTTTTTTTTATCTTTTATTATGTTTAGGGATTTAATGTTAGTGAAGTAAACGCTGGTTTGTATTTTTAAATTTGTTTTTATAATCTATTGATATTTTTATTAATTATAGAATTAATTACTAATTTGTTACATTTTAACACTGCATAATTGTAATAGTTATAACCAAAACGTTTATGAAAAGTTGTTACCAAATTATTTATAAAAATTATTTTAGAAATATAGCTAAGCAAAAAGTGGAAAATTATAAACTTTTAAAATGGTTAACTTTTACCATCAGGTTACACATCATACCATCAGACCTTATACCATATCCATACCATCAGATTCCTGAAAACTATGCACAAAGAGAAAAAAACTATGTTTCTAAGTAACTAAGTCTCATTTTCCATAACTTTTTCTCTTTGTCTAACTGTTGTTTCTGATGATAATTATGCGACATTTTTTTATCAAACAAATTGTTCCAAGAAACTTATATATATACAAGAAATCAGTGCAATAGGTGAAAGATGCAGGAGGTGATGGCTCCAAGAGTTGATAGGTGCAAGAGGTGAATGGTGTAAAAGGTGATGGGTGCAAGAAGTGAATGGTGTAAAAGGTGATGGGTGCAAGAGGTGATGCTAAAACTTCTCAGATTACTATATCTTTTAATATCTTTTTTTTAAACAAAATCACTTGCAACTGAAAATAAAAAAGAGAGCTAAAGAGAGAAAAAGCAATTGAAAAAAGACTTGAAAAAAATGTAAGTTGTATGTGTCAGGGTAGCATGTACACAGAAAAAAATTCAAAAGGACTGATATTTGCAGAAAAAAAGTAGATAAATAAAAATATTTTGAACACAAAGGAGTTGTTACAGTAGGAGGATGCAACTTACTTAAATAAGCAATTCACAGTAAATTATGTTTTGTTTGATGGAAGAAGTAGTGATAGCTAACTAAAACAGTGACCATTATAATACTTTTAGAAAAGAAATAAGATGATGGGATAAAGGTTCAAGCTCAACAGCTTGTCAAAGTTTATAATTTGTTTTTGAATCTTGTTTATAAGAGGCTTTTTATTGCAAAAAATCAGATGCTAACTTTGTATTGCATTGTATATATGGCTTTCCTGAGAGGTCAATGTTTAGTAACTTTACACTGTGAATCATAAATTTAAGTTAAATTCCTCCACATTTCTACATGTTTTTTGTATTTTTTAAATGTTCCTTCATGTTCCTAAAACTTATATTGTTCTTTTTTTACATCAAAACTTTAGATTTCTTTTCCCTCATAGTGTTATCTTAATTCTTATAGTTTGCAGCTCAAAAATCTTTTTAGCCTGATTTAAGGCTTTTTTATAAAAAACTTCTAGCCTTTTCAACTCATTTGATCACTGTTTTTCTCTTTAATTGTCTTGTTCTTTTAATTAAACTAATTGCAGCCTTCTTTAAAGCAAATTTGAATAAAATAAAAATCAACTATTTGAAGTAACTGACATTGACAATAGTTAAATAAACTAAATTTTTCTTTGAAAATTATACACAGCATTTTAAAAGATACAGATGAATCATTAAAAGAGCTTTCTAAGCTGAAAGAAATACCATAATACCTGGTGATGGTGCCTCTTTTTAAAACTATTTTGGGGTAGTACTTTTGCTCCTACTGGCCTGACTACTGGCCTTTTCATTCTAAAAAAATGAAACTATTTTTTCAACTTAAAATATTTTATGTATAATAGTATACTTTATATATATATATATATATATATATATATATATATATATATATATATATATATATATATATATATATATATATATATATATATATATATATATATATATATATATATATATATATATATATATATATATATATATATATAATTATATATATATATAATTATATATATATATATATAAATATATATAAATCTCATAAAATAGTTGTCTAAGATTTATATTGTTATGCTTTTTTATAAATTAGGAAAGTATGCTGGAGTTGTTTCATCCTCACTATCTGTCAGCAGAATAGGAAGCAGGTGAATATCTATGTTATGTATTTTGAATTGCTTTATTCTTTATTTTTGTCTTGTGTAAAATCTTGTGTAAAGATTTTTCTGTTTTTTTTATTTTTTTATTTTATATAAAGTTTAAAATTTTTACATTTTGGGTAAAACTCTGGTAAAAATCTTTTTTTTTTTTTAACAAAATAACTTCAAACAAGCTCCAATGAATAACTAATTAGATTGAGGCTAAATGACTAATAAAAATAACAAGAAATAAAGAGAAAAAGAGCAAGAAGAAAGTTAAAAATTGCAATTATTTATCATATTCTAACATTGCAATGGGTTGTACAGACGAAAAGTAGAGAACTCAGTGAGAGTTCATTCATTTATAAACAAGTATCAACAACATTGCAATAATTGTTAGAATAATATAACTTGATTAGATTAAAATTCACTAATAACTTCAAGCCTCAAGCTGTCACAAAAAAAAAATCAGCTTCAAAATTAGCTGTTTATTTTTTAGCATTAAAAAAGTGAAACATTCTGTCAAGACTGGTGTATATAGTTGCTTAAGTGTTGTCATTAGATTTAAGAAACCAGTTATAAAAAAATATATTTTTAAACTGTTTATAATGTTTTATAATTAGAAGAGCTAATATAATCAGATTCATGTTTAACAGGTGGAATGACATACGCTTTATTAATGACATTTCTAAAGATTAATTACATTGCTTGGTTGCACATGTTTTGCAATGTTGCACAAGTAAAACTACATTAAGGAAAATATAGTTTTGATAATTTTATATTAACAATTGAAATAATTTTATTGAAAAAGTAAATAAATAAATGAATCAAAATTATAATAACAAAAATAATTAAAAAGTAAACAATGATAAAAAAAAAATTGTGTCTTATCAATGTAACTCTGAAGTACATATTTATTTATTTATTTATGCTCCTTGAAACGCAACGCCATGCTGAATCTATTATGAGCCCATTCTAATTACAGTTTTGAAATATTTATAGAGATCAGAGTTTCACAATATCAAAAAGTTTATCAAGCTTGTACTTGAAGATTTTTACACTTTTGGCAGAAATTATTTCTTCTGGAAGTTTATTCCATGTGTGCTTTATGTCCTTTAATGTTTGCAGCTGGGCTGTTTGCTGAAATAGAAATTTCTGTTTTTGGTTGTTGATACCAAAATACTTTGTCAAAATTATGAAAAATCTTATAATATTGAATTAAATCATATCTTACTCTCCTGGTTTTTGAAGAAGCCAGCCTGAGTTTTTTTAACCTTTTTTCATAGGGTACGTGCCTTATTTCCGGAATCAGTTTAGTTGCTCATTGTTGAACACTTTCTGATTTATATATATTATTTTTATTATAAGGGTTCCATATTGGTGATGCATATTTAAGAATAGGTCTTACAAAAGTGCAGCACAAATCTTCATTATGTTTTTGTCTTTGTAAGTAAATGATTTGGTTAATTGACCTAATCGACTATTTGCTTTATTTAAAACCATATTTACATGATGGTTCCACTTCATAGTATTAGAAATCATTAGTTATAAATTAGGAAAGAATGCTGGAGTTGTTTCATCCTCACTATCTGTCAGCAGAATAGGAAGCAGGTGAATATCTATGTTATGCATTTTGTTTTTATCTTGTGTAAAATCTTAGATTTTTCTAATTCATTTACAATTCATTAGTTGTAGAATTTAATTTCGAATCTTTTTTACCATATTCAAAATTCTTACTATGTTTTCAAAATGCATGATTTTACATTTGTTTAGTGTTGAAATTTATCATTCATTTGTCAGACCATTCAGTTAGATTATTAATATTGTCTTGCAAGCTTTTCAAGTCTACCTGGTTGTTAACTACAGCAATAATTTTGTTATCATCTGCTTAATGTTTGCATATATTATAAATTTTAGAGGGTAAATCATTGATATATAACAAGAACAATAGTTGTCTAAGTACAGAACCTTGCGGAACGTCACTCAGAACCTCTAACCAACCTGATTTTGTATCATCAATTATAACACGTTGTTTTCTATTTGATAAATATGCTTCTATCCAATTTAGCATTTCATTTCCTATACCATAACCACATAGTTTTGATATTAATTTCTTAAGAGGCACTCTATCAAATGCTTTTTGAAAATTGGTATATAAAATGTCTACTGAATTGCCTATCATTAGTTGGTATGTTATAAAATCTAAAGATTCTAATAAATTTGTTATACAATTTTCAACCTTTAAGAAGCCATGTTGTTGATTATAGAAAAGATTATTAGAATCTAAATAATTTTTTAAGCTATCACTTATAATTTTTTCTAATACTTTGCAAGGTATAGATGTCAAAGATACTGGTTGATAATGTATTGCTTGCTTTTTACTTTCATTTTTAAATATAGGACTTACATTAGCCATTTTCCAGAGATAAGGAAGATTACTATTTATATAACTTTGTTGATAGATGATTAAAAATGGTATTAAAAAACTTTCAGAGCAGACTTTTAGCACATAAGGATTTACTTCGTCATAC